GGGGGGGGGGGGGGGGGGGGGGAAAAGGAACCCGGGTTCCCGTTCCCCCCCCCCCCCTTCCATTGAAAGCTCAAGACTGGGATGAAATGACTGCATTCACGCTGAATCTACTCGCAGATCAAGAGCCTCGCTCATCAAAGCATTCCTCCTGAAATTACGCTTCAGCCACATTTCTTTAGAGTGAAGTTATTCAATGCTGGAAACCTTGCGGGGGGGTGGGGGGGGGGGGGGGGGGGGAACGGCTTGCTACCTCAAAATGCTATCTTCACCACGCTTGACTGATTGCTCTGGGGCACGAAAGTCCCACTGCATCTTAGCGAAGCTTAGCTGTGAGTACAGTAGTGGGGCGGGGCTAGCCAGCCAGGTGGGCTTCCCCTATTGGTGGTCCAGAAGCCAATGCTGAACATCCTTATGACTGGGTGGCCTATCAGACACAAAGCAGGATCCCCCTCCCACCTAAGATGCAAGGATCCTTTGCCCTCTCTGGCCGTCCCCCGAAACTGCTGGCTGCCATTGAGCAGGTTATCTTGGGATCTTGTAGGCTGTTAATGTCATTTTACCCCCCTGGGATACAAGTAATCATTCTGGTTCTGTCTCCTGGGCTGTGTTGTGGAAACCCACCAGAAATATGGGAGTGTCGGCCCTGGCCAAAGCGCACAGAATCCCAGGAATGCGGTATTCCGATAAAGCTTGCTTTGTTTCTCCCGTGACCCACCCGCAGGGCACCCTGGGAGTTTGGCTGGGCCCGGCACTGGCAAGGCATGTTGCCATGTGGACTTGGTTCACGGATGGCTGAGTGGGGGGCTGCTTCTTCTGAATGGCGTGCTGCTGTAGGCGTGATTATAAAATTTGGGCAGGAAAGTGCACCCCCTCTTGGTAAGGCGCTGCCATGGCGGCTGCCAGGGACCCAGAGTCTGCGCTTTCTCGCCTTGGCGACCGACCCACTGACCAATCAGGTGTCACATAAACCACTGGCGCCGCTCTCCTTCCTGGCGGGCGATCCGGTCGATCATAGCAGCGAAGCCGGAGGCCCATGGGACTGAGCCACTTCCCCCTCTGGCTTAGGAGTGTGTGTGGTCACACAAGGTCTTTGGTCCGAGGTTGTGGTATGAAGATGACCCTGTGGGCAGATTTTTCCCTGATAGTGATATTGCACCTCCTCACCCCTAGGAGGAGCTCTGACATGTACACGAGACCATGACCACGGAACCGAATGCTAGTGTTTGGCTGACAGCTCCACTTGACACAGAGGGAGGGCAGTAAAAGTTACTTCCTGACTAGTAATGCATGCAGTTTGCTAGCATATTTACTTAATAAACGGCAACACAGGAGTACAGTAGGTACCAGTACAGCCGGGGCTGGAACCTAAGATGTTTTGCTACTAGTAACCTGGGCTAGTTCAGTA